ACTGTGGCAATATTAATGCAAATAGAAATTCCAGGGGAGAATCTGATTATGGGTCAAAATAAATTCAAATGCCTTCAATTCAAACCTTCATTTGCGATAACATTTTAATCATAACAGTGCTTGATGCTTAGCAAGTTCTTAGTAAGTAATTAACAAAAGATGACTGAAAATTGAATTATCTTGAGAAAACAGTTTTTCTTTCTGATAATCGAGAGACCAGTACCTTTGTAAAAAAAAAAAAAAAAAACTGTGTTTCTATTTAAGTCTGGATAATTAAGAAATACATATCTTCCAATATAGTTACATATTTATAATGTTATCAGTTCATATTTTTCTCTCAGTGTAATGCAAGCATTTGATAGATAATGTATGCTATTTGATTATTTTCTGATAGATTCTCCTGGCCAGATGAAAGTGAAACGATAAGTATAAAAATGGGCAAAGTAAGCTCAGAGAAGTAAACAAAATTTCTCCAAGAGAATTAATAGCAAAAAATAGAAACAGAACGTTAAGTCTCATATCTATTTGGTAAATATTATACAAAATGTCATCTCCTCTTCCACAGAGCAAAAACAAAACCATGAACTACAAATAGATAATAATGTATCTAACATTTATTTGCTGATTTGTATTTTCCTGATGTTGTCGTTAATGTCTGACATACATAAATTCATTTAATCCTCACAAGAAACTTGTGAAGCACATATTATTATTCTCCTTTACAGACAAGGAGGTGTGTCTGGCAGTGCTAGAAAAGCCCATCTAAACTCCCACAGCTACCACCTGGCAAAGTCAGATTTAACCCCCGGTCTCTGACATCAACTCTGACATTAAGTGTCAACTTTTCCAATAGGAAGAACTGTGTTTCTGCTTCTGTGTTGTGTAATAACTAATCCAGAAGAAAATAAATAAATTACAGCATGGTCCAGGAACATTGGTCTGTGATGACTTCTGCACAGAGATCAATTTTCCTCCACTTAACCTTAGAGTGAATGGCTCCATCTCTCCAGCCGTCCCAAATAGTAAGGTGAATTTCAACCTGACTTCTCTTTTTCATCACTTTTTCCATGTGCAGTGAGTAGCAATCCAATCAATTTGAATTCTTTAGCATTTTCCATGTGTTTACATATAACTTCATGCTTGCTGCCACTCTAATAATGACTACCATGTTTTCCCTCCTGGTCTATGGTAAAAGTCTCCACCTTGGCCTCCCGCACCTCATTTGGCCCCTTTCAGCCACTCCCCACAAGTAGCTGGCTGTTTGAGCTTTCTAAAATGCATACACATACTTAGCCACAGGAAGCACCCTGGCCTATGCTGTAAGATCCATATTTCAGATGATGATCCAGTGCCTGTATTCTCTTTCCTACACTGGAGACTTTTATCATACTGAATTACACGCAATGCCACAAACACGGTGCTTTCACACATGGACCTCTGTGTGGACCGTTCCCTGTGCCTGGAGACGCTGTACTTGCCTCCCTCATCTGGCCCTCCAGTCCTGTTCAGACGTCTCTTCTTCTGGGTAGCCTTCACTAATTATCCAAGACTGTGTGAGGTATCCACTTGGGGTCATTCACTATCCTAGCACTCGCCACGCTGCGTTATAACTGGGAGTTCATCTGCCCATCTACCTCACCACACTGCGAGCAACCCAGAAGCTCCTGGCTTCATCATCCTTCATAGCCCTGCACCTGGAACAGTGCCAAATATACAGCAGGTATCAAGGAACATTTGTGGAGTAAAGAAAGGTAGAAAGATGAGAAAGAGCAAGGGATGGAAAAAGACATCATGAGGAAAGGGATACAAAGAAAATGAATGATAATGAAGAGGGAAATAAAAAGAAACAGAAGAGAAAGAAAAGGAGAGAAAGGGAAGGATAAAAATGAAGAGAAAAGGAGAAACTGAGAGTGGAAGGACGGAAGAAAGGGAGAGTATAAGAAGTTACAGAAAAATGGAGAATAGTCACACAATTCCTAGGGAAACTGCTTGAAGAGTCTCCATATACCATCTGTGTGGCAGTGACTGGCCAATCCTCTGGGGTAGGGACGTAGTCAGGGAGTCCTGATGTTGAAGAAAATAGACTACAAAGGACATTAGAAACAGCTGAGCTCAATTTTATCTTATAATTAAGGACACGGAACCAAAGACAGATGTGACTTGCTGGTAGAAGGGAGTTAACATGGGTCAAGATGTGAACGCAGGCTCAAAACCTCAAAAGCCGAGTTCTCTGCACCACACCAGTCTCTCCAGAGACACAGTTGGCTCAATAATGACAAGAGCAGAATGGTACCTTAGGGCCTTCGGGCCTGGTTGAGGGTGATACACACTGCAATTCTGAGTGCTTTTTCTTTTTTCCTAACGTTTTTCCTTAATACAAAGATTTTCAGCCTTCAAGGCAGGTACACTGCAGTCAAGCGAAAGACTCTTTGAGCTCTTTCTATGCCTTGCTTTGTGTTACTCACCTTAATACTCTAACAAGCCCTGAGCTTGTCCTCAGCCTGTCCTTTTGCCACATGGCCCTCTCATCTGGAAGGCCCCTGCTGCCATTTCTACCTTTTGAAATCCTTTGCGTCCTCTCGAGGCTTTGCACAAATGCTTTTTCTTTTATGAGATCGACTTCAATGTCCTTAACAGAAAATAATCACTCTATCTTCTCTGTGTGCCTAGTACTTTGTTCCTTTTTTTCTCGCTATATAAATGGGCTTATCCCTTTATTATCGTTTCATGTGGATCTACTTTCCCTCACTAAGTGTGTGTTCCTGGAAGGGAGGACCCGCTCCTGCTTTCCCTTTGCCTCCCCAAGCAGGATGAGCCCCTTTATACGCCATGTGTGTCCCATATATTTCTTATATGCCTTGCATGCTTTGTATTTTCCATAGATTTCTTATGTTGATCTAAAACAAAGAGCCCATTTTCCAACTCTTAGGCCTAGAGCATCCTAAAATATTGTTTAAATTTTCCATGGATATACTTTTTTTTTTTTTTTAACCAAAACGCTTGTGTTGGGCTGACTTTTCTTGAACTATTGTTTAAAATAAGCTTTTCATATGGATTAAAGATAATATATACATGGTGAAGGGAACAAGAACAGAGAATAACACAGTTGACTCAGTGAGTTTCAGAGGGTGAAGGCTCTGAGACTTTTGGCTAACGGGATGACTTCATAATCAGGACAATTGCAAGAGTAATTATTATGAGAGATTTCTGTCCCTTAAAAATATTGACAAATAATAATGTTGCTGAAAGCAAAGGAGGCTTGCGTTGCTACAGAATTCTTCTTTAAATATGGAGATGTCCTGGAGAATACTTGTAACAAAACATTTCAAGTGTGGTAAATAAGAAGGAATGAAGAAGTCACCACTAACTCATGCACAGGGCAGATGGCAAATTGGTGGGTGAACTGACATAAAGGCAAGACGGTACTTGAAGGGCTAGGACTGCTGGCTGCTCTCGGCAAGGTTTGACCCTTCCTGAAACTACTTTGTTATCAAATAAAGTGAGCAGTTGTCAGGATAGGCAGAATACCTTGAAAAGTGTTTCAGAAAATATTTCGACAATGCCTTTAGGTGAGATTTTACATACTTTTTATGGTTTTAGAAATATAATTGTAAGTGTGCTGAGGCCAAACGTATTTATGTATTAATCAGCTACCACTGGCCATAGATAGATCATGGGAAACTAATGGCAGCAGAACATTTTATCTGCACTTTTCCCTAAGCACTGTTCAAAGGTTATTTTTAAAATTCACTTCTTATATGCAAAGCCTGATAAAAAGTATCACTGGAAACACGTATAACAGAAAACCTTTCCAGTAGTTCAATTTACTGTGATTTTTAGAAATACAATTTTCCAGCACGAAGAAGGTATTTATAACTCCATTGGTTTTGAAATGTCATGTGGAAGTCAAAGAACAATTAAAAGCAAGAAAAGTAAACAGCAAAAGTAATATACAGCAAATAGAAAGATGATTACTTTCCATTTCTAACTCCAACTTGAGAATCTAATAAATAAAATTAGAAAAAATTAAAAACTGCCTCTTGGGTATGTTTTCTAAACTTCATAGAGATGATGTTATAACACTGGTAGGGTAAATTGTTCCCTTCACGATGTACATGAAAGAGCAAATTGTATTGCTGTATACACTCCATTTGAGTTCCTGGTATATCTGTTTTTTTTCTTTTACCTCTACTTTCCTAAGACTTACTAATGAACAGCAGTTGATTTTTAACATCTGATATATTTTTTTTAACTCAGTTCTACTTCTCTCAGATTCCTATGGCTACAGAAAATGTCTCTGAACTTTAAAATTACTTCTTTCTGCGTTTGTCTGGTGAGAATACTACAATCCTCAAATGCGAGCCTGTTCATACATCTCTTGCACTAATAGCCAGCCCCTAAGAGCAACTCATTTTAAGAGATTTTCTTGTCTCTCCTCTCTACATTGGGATGCACCAGAAAGGCTTTTTCTCCCTCAGAATAGTTTTTTTCTTTTTACACAGAAATTCATTCAAATAACAGTCTCGATTGCATACTGATTGGGTATGTTTCACATACTTTGAGTTTGATTGCTCAGTGTCTTAGGTAATTATCACTCCTGAAGAAAGTCTATCACTCTTAATGCTGTCATCATGCTCAACAGTTTTCTTTGACAGAAAGGTTATAGGAATGTCGTTCGATTCAGCATATCCAGCAATATGAGGTGAATTTCTAGAAGACTCTGTGGCAGAGATTATTCTTATGTGGATGTATCTTTATGAAAAAAAAAGAAAGTATTCAGTTACCTCATCTGTAAAGGGGGATAACATACCTATCTCATAGATGCACTGTGAAGATCAAATGACCTAACTACCTAAAGATGCCGTAAGTAGTAGGTCATTTATGTTGGCTATTTTCACTATCATTAGTCCTAGCTAATGTGCTGAGCTTCATATATGGCACTAGGGCTCACAGGACACTTGAACTGGCTGTGTCGGGAAGAGAAGATGCTGACTTCTTACCTCCAGGGAGTCATCAGCATTCACCATCCAGCAGTCTGTCCAGGTGGCCACAATCAAAAACCCAGTGGAGAAGAAGGCGAAGAAGCAGGCAAGGTACTGAAGAAGATCCCTCATCCTGGCAAGCAGTCTGTCCAGAAAGGACACATGGATAGACGGCAGCCCTGGCCCGCTCGGGTGGCTGAAACACTGTCAGTCTTCTGTGCTTCCGGTACCTGGGGATGTGGAAATACTGGTCTTTTACTTTTGCTCACACCCCACTGCAGGCATCTTAAGTTCTGGTAAGAAAAATACAAACAGGTTGTAACCGACAGAGGGGTCCGGGAGGTCATCATCCGAAGCGACCAGCCTCCAATCAGAAGCCAGGTCAGTGAAAGGACTGCATGCGTTTTGGGTGGGGTTTAGAAGGAACCCTGGAAAAGGTTTTGTCCAGACTAATGCAAAGTGATGGTCACCAGAGGCACGTGCCATGGCAAGAAGGAGAGAAGGAGCAAGGGCCCCACCCCCTAATGAAGCCTGTAAACTGATCTTTCTAAGGCCCTCCAGGGAAGGTGAGCCATTTTCTCCCCCCCTCAGAAGAAGGCTACATGGTTGACCAAGTGCTATTTTATTGTTAGGGCTATTTTAATATTCGCTGACTACCTTAGACAGACAGGCCACTGGTGAAACTATGCTAAACAAGAGCTTGCTCAAGGGAGTTTGCATTCCAAAGTGTTGGGCAGTTCAGCCCCAGAAGGATTTCTAACACCTGGGCAGTTGGTAGAGCCAAGGCTTCTCACCTTTCAGCATCATAGTGGGAACAAATGTGCATTTTAATCCAGGCAGCTCTGGGCATAAATCCTGGCTCTGAAGTTTACAGGCTGAAAGTTCCTGAGCTACAGTTTCTGTGAAATGGAGGTATTAATACCATGTTCATAAGAGGTTTGCAAGGATAAAAGATACCATGTCTGTAAATCATTTAGGAGAGTGTCTGGTGACAGCGGCTAAGTGATAAATATTAGCAGGACCAAGAAGGCCCTGTCCTGTATTACTACTTTTCCTCCGTGGACCAATGTTTAAAAATGTATCTAATGAACAAGAAAATAAAATACCCATTTATACTGGAAATAGAATGATTTAGTTTAAGAAATGTCTTGGGAGCTAGGCAATGGTATAACAGTAACACAATGTTCTACAAGTCTAAGCCACATGAGAAGGTTCCAGGTTCACTTCCAGAGACCTCCTGAACATGCCAGGCCCAAGATGCCCATGAACAAGGACTGGCTGGAGTTGGGGGTTATGTTGTTGTGTGAGGGCCCCTTTGACATATATATATATATATATATACACACACACACACACACATATGTCACCATGGAATAAAGAAAAAAAAAACTTAGAAAAATGAAAATAATTTTTGGTATACCAGAAAAAAACCTGAAGTTTTGCATATACCTGAATGGATAATATTATTGGGTATAAATAACCAGTAGTCATTTAAAAACACGTAAAAGAGAGCACCTGTCACCCTTTTAGTTTCATCTGGTAGACTTCTCTACATTAAAATTAAAATTTTGAGTGATAATAGTAAATAAGTAAATTAATATAGTTCTTAATGCAAGAGAGAGAGACTGAGATGGGAGAGAGAGACAGCCCCAGAAGGATTTCTAACACCTGGGCAGTTGGTAGAGCCAAGGCTTCTCACCTTTCAGCATCATAGTGGGAACAAATGTGCATTTTAATCCAGGCAGCTCTGGGCATAAATCCTGGCTCTGAAGTTTACAGGCTGAAAGTTCCTGAGCTACAGTTTCTGTGAAATGGAGGTATTAATACCATGTTCATAAGAGGTTTGCAAGGATAAAAGATACCATGTCTGTAAATCATTTAGGAGAGTGTCTGGTGACAGCGGCTAAGTGATAAATATTAGCAGGACCAAGAAGGCCCTGTCCTGTATTACTACTTTTCCTCCGTGGACCAATGTTTAAAAATGTATCTAATGAACAAGAAAATAAAATACCCATTTATACTGGAAATAGAATGATTTAGTTTAAGAAATGTCTTGGGAGCTAGGCAATGGTATAACAGTAACACAATGTTCTACAAGTCTAAGCCACATGAGAAGGTTCCAGGTTCACTTCCAGAGACCTCCTGAACATGCCAGGCCCAAGATGCCCATGAACCAGGACTGGCTGAAGTTGGGGGTTATGTTGTTGTGTGAGGGCCCCTTTGACATATATATATATATATATATACACACACACACACACACATATGTCACCATGGAATAAAGAAAAAAAAAACTTAGAAAAATGAAAATAATTTTTGGTATACCAGAAAAAAACCTGAAGTTTTGCATATACCTGAATGGATAATATTATTGGGTATAAATAACCAGTAGTCATTTAAAAACACGTAAAAGAGAGCACCTGTCACCCTTTTAGTTTCATCTGGTAGACTTCTCTACATTAAAATTAAAATTTTGAGTGATAATAGTAAATAAGTAAATTAATATAGTTCTTAATGCAAGAGAGAGAGACTGAGATGGGAGAGAGAGAAAGAGATGGGAAGAGGAAAATACAGAGTATGGGAAAATTTATTAGAAATAGGTCATTATTGGGACCAGCTAATAGCATAATGGTTTCATTGTTGAACTCCTATGTAGTTGACTACCGTTCAAATCCTGGACCCAGCAGCTTCAAACTCACTCTGGGTTCATGTGCATATGTGCCCAAAATCCTGAGAGGAGCATGGAGGAGAAGGGAATTGCAACATGGCCATCCCTCCTGGGGCGGGGAGGTGATTTCTCTTTTTGTCTCTCTGTCTCTCTGGTGAGCGCATGCACCCTATAGCTAAAATCTCTCACCAAAAAAAAAAAAAAAAGAAAAAAGAAAGAAATAGATCATTACCCTAGAAAGAACCAGTGACTAACATAGTTATTTTAATTTCTCACAAAGGGATTGTTTTTTACATTTATTAATGGTTTGGTCATAGTATTTAGGGTAAATGACTAAAAAGTGAGAATCAGTATTCATAAGACATCCTCCAAAAATATATTAAAATAATAAAGTTTTGTGATTATATTATTTCTAATTTTTGCTTCATTTTATTCAAGTATAAACTTAAATATAGAAGCTGATGTAAAACCATACATGGAATGTAAGCCTGATTATTGCCATAAATAAAGATACATACACCAACTGTAGTTATCACTACTCTGTAAGGAGCAATACAGATATTTTTAATTTTACTCATTTTATTCCACGTATATGACTTAATAGTTGGAAAAAGAAATAACACTTCACTTTGAAGTGCTCCTCCACAGAATGTAGTTACCTATACTGTCAGGCAGCTAAGACTCACGCATGCAGCTTTGGTGAGTCGAAAGTGAATCTTTCCTTGTGCCCCATAATCTAAAGGGTTCACGCTCTATTGATCTGGGAGAGCAAACCGATTCCAAAAGTACATGACCTTTACAGGGAAATCCTGGATTTAGCTCCTAGCTTTCCACCAAGGGACCTTTCACAAAGCACTTTTCCGACTAACAGTGTACCCCAGGGCAGTGATTCTTAAACTTGAATGTACACTGGAGTCTCCAAGGCCCTGTAGCTTTATCCCCAGAGGTACGAATTCAGAAAACTGGGCATGGAAGCTAGGAGTTCACGTTTTTCTATGTTAGAGAACATTCTGATTCTGAGGAAGAGGACCATACTTTGAGAGCCTAATTCAGAAGAAGTAAAGAGAAACCAGCATAAAACTTAGCATACCAGAGTCAGCTAGGTGGTGTGGATAAGGCAGCTGGACTTACCATGGCCGACTGCACAGTTCAAGCCCCAGATCCGGAGGCTTGAGAAACATTATGTGTGTGGGCATGCATGCCTACAGTCCAGAAGAGAATGGAGGAGAAGGGACTGTAGCATGGCCATACCTGTGGGGGTTGCTTTCTCACTTTCCCTCTCTGTCTCTCTTCAGCAAACACATGTGCCTATAGTAAAATTAAAAACAAAACCTCAAACAAAACACTTTTCAGAGTCATAAACGATGCATTACAAAGTTCTAGTAAAGGGTTTACCCAAATTACATCTTCAGTACCATACTTCCTAGATGGCACCAAACAGGTCCCAAATCCAAGTATCAGAACTTATGTAGAGGAGAAGAGAATGGAAAATACAAAAACAAAAGCTAACAAAAACCGTGAGCACATGCATGCATTTTCACATGTATACACACATACACATAAATAAGAGGTCATCAAAATTAATGGAAAATGTATATTATGGAAAAAGCTACGCATGAATTTCAAAAATTTATGCAACAAAGCACACTTACACTTTAACCCCATTTTCCCATGAACTATTTGAAGTCACAGTCTATTTCTGGAAATCAGAGATTCTTTTACAGGAAAGATCTAAAGGTTAACTAACCTACTTAGCGTACTCTCAATATTTACCAGACATTGTCTGTGGTTGAGGGTGGAGGATATTCAGGTGACTACAGACCAGTTTCTTAACTGAAGCTTACTCCTTTTGGAGACTAACATAAGACAATCACGCTTACATGCTATATTTTGTGGTGAGGCTATAATATGGTAGAAGATCCAAGAAAGGAGAGTCATGCAGAGTGACAGAGCCACAGAGACTTCACCGGGGCGGGAAGATGAATACCTAAGGAAGAGAGATTTTGCTGGGAACAGTGGGATGAAGAGTGTCAGTGCAAAATAAATCACTCATGAGTGTATATAGACAAATCTCTTTTGCATCACCCATACTCTTGATGCCAATATTTAGTCTGCTCTGTCTTCAGAGGATGCTAGGTCCTGGGACACAGACAAATAAAGATGGGCAACTTGGTCGCAGGCCATGAGAAGCTTACCTCCCAGGCGCCATTGAAAAGCTCTAATCGGTAACTCTGAGAACAGCCTTAAGTTCTAGTATTGTGGCCGGTAACAGTACATACGCACACTACTTAGAAATATGCAGGTTTTTCCAGTTTCCTGGAACTGTGGAGTACAATTATCACTATGTGTGTGGCTTAGTAGGGTTTAAAAACATTTTATCTTTATAGGTGACCTTGTATAAACTCCATGAAGACAGACAAATTTGTTTTGTTCAACACACCCCACATGCTTGAAATTCTGCCTAGCATTTAGCAGGCTCACAACAAATAGACATTGAATTTTAGTTCGTCCTCACACAGCCCCTATATTTTACAGAAGAGGGAGTAACACTGGACTTTCTTTTTACAAAACACCAGGGTCCTCCAGGATGGATACTAGGCTGGCAAAAGTGGCCATCATGCTGCAGCTCCAAAGCACTTTGTTCTGCAAGCTCCCTGAGACAAATATTTTGGTCGACAAGCGACACTCTGTGTTCCAACTTGCCCAGAATTGCAGGACTCTTGGCTGAGGTTTTAGAGCCACCTGGTGATCAGGTGAATGACACCCTCAGCCTGGCACCCTGGTTGCTGCTTCACGGAAGGAAACAAATCCTAGCACTGGGAATAACTGCATTTATCCTTTTGGCCTGCAGGTGGAAGCAGTCCTGCATTTTCATCTGAGTGAAACAGCAAGATGTTTTTTTAACTGTTGTTTCTCCTAGTGTCACAAAATGTTCTTTCTG